GTCTTTTCATGTCGTCCCCTTCTGGCTCGCTGTGCCAAATCGGAGGCCGGACTTCGCATTCAGAGGCACGGCTAGTCAGTGTGTGGTCCTCACGAAATAACAGCAGGTCCAGGATTTTGATAAGGAAATGGTGTGCGCGGCTCCAGCTATGCATGGAGACACCAAACAAGAAAAACAGGGACGTGTTGCTCAAAATCACCCAACATTGATAATTATTGATGGGCAACCCAATTTTCTCCATATGAAGCTGCAAAAACCAGGGGATATAGTAGCCCACGATGGACACCCTTGTCAACCAAGCATCATAAGGTCAGTGCTCAGGTGACTGTCAAGGCTAGCTCTACTTGCAACCTAGGAATAATAGAACCTTATCCTTGTATGTCCTTGTTCCCCAAACAGTGTGGCCACACTGAGGGGTTCTTACGGCAAGTGTTAAGGCCCGATGTTCAGTCGAGGTGGTATCATCCGTGTCCGGCCAATTCCCTGTAAATTTCCGCGTAAAATGGCTCTTGTGAAATGTCCCTGTGCATTTCGACCGCGCCAGCTCGCACAAAACGAGAAATCTTGCACAGACATCTTGCCAAGAGACCTCTTCTAGGGAGCTCCTACAGAGATCTTTCCAAGAAACCTCTCATGGAGATCTTGTGCAGAGATCTGGCCAAGAGGTCTCTTACAGAGATCTTGCCTATAGAGCTCTTATAGAGATCTTGTGCAGAGATCTTGCCAGGAGACCTTTTATGGAGATCTTGTGCAGAGACATTGCATAGAGATCTGTTACAGCGATCTTGCCAAGAGGTCTCTTACATAAATCTTGCCAAGCGGGCTTTTATAGAGAGAGAGAGCTTGTACAGAGATCTCAAAAAGAGACCTTGCCAAGAGATCGCTTATAGATAACTTGTCCAGAGGTCTTGCCAAGAGACCTCTTATAGAGATCTGTGCAGAGAGAGCTCTTTTAGAGATCTTGTGCAGAGATCTTGCCAGGAGACCTCTTATGAAGATCTTGTACAAGACCTGGTGAGGAGAGCAAAGGTCTTGCTCGGAGATCAATTTTAGATAGCTTGAACAGAGATCTTACTTTGAGGTCCCTTACAAAGATCTTCTGTGGCGATCGCCTATAGACACCTTGTACAGATAGCCTTACACAGGGATCTTGCACAGCAGCTTCTACAGAGAACCTGTCGGAGATCTTGCGCACAATCTTCTACAGAAATCTTCACAAAGGGAACTTGCAGAATCTTACCAGGGATCTCTTCTTTTCACTCTCGGGTCGCTCTTGTCCTGCTAGCTTGCAGCCACTGATGATTTTAGATGATTTTAGGTCCTTTCCACCTTTCCGCCTTTCCCTTTAGAATCCTAACTGCACACTGTTTGGGGTCTCTTGCCCGGATACTTGGAGTTTGGAAAGCATGGACGGAGGTATTAAACTGTAGACAAATCTCCAGCCTGGTGGGAAGGCTCCATGACCGAGTCTGTTCAGAGCGAATTTTGCAGGTGGTGGAGGTCCTGTATGATCCGCCGAGAAGAGATGTTCGAAGACTTGGTAGGAGCCGACACCTCAGTTTGTACCGCAGAGTTGCCATCGTTTTTTTTTCCGCTTGAAGGAAACCATCAAATTCCACAAAACATTGGGGGTGACAGAGGTATGATGTAGTGGTGCTGCGGGAGCATTTTCTTGCGCCTAGGCATTGGCGGACCTGCGGGAGGAAGCTGCAGTGGAGGTGTGTGGGCTGTGGCGGTGAGGGATCGTTTTCACCGGATATCATGCGGTGAAGGCTGATTGGTCAACTGTTGTTGTGCTTCAGAAACCTATCAGATTCTTGTCATATCCCCCGTAGAATTCCTTTCAATAATACTTGCCAGAACCACCAATGTTGAGATTCTTGCAAGAAGTCGAGCTGAATTTGATTCGCGTTTTGAGGCATCGTTTTTCACTTTATTTCATCTTGTCACGATTTGAACTTAAGGAAACAATCGGATTAGGATGGATTCAATTTAGATCCAGAGAGCCAGGGGTGATAGCTGTCGCCAGATCCAGTACTCTGTGGGAATTGTCCGTCGTGGTGGAAGCCTGCGCTCTTTCGGGCGCCAACGATTTAGGCTCCAGGTCTAAATGGCGCCCTAGTTGTTTGCTTGGGTTGCCAAGGCTACACGTGGCAAATCGTGGCAACGTGTTGTCTTAAGCCTTTTCGTTTTGGAAGAGTTAGAGACAGAAACCGTTTCTGGGACTGATTGTTTTAAGTTTCATGGAAGTGGCAAAGTACGTTGATCCCTGGTTGGCACCGAAAGACCAGTGCCATGCCAATGATTCACAGCTGTGCCATAGCAACTGACAACCAGTTGCTTTGGAGAGGTAATGTTACTGTGAGTCAAAAAGTACCGTGTTCGAGCAAGATTTGCATGGGCATGTTGGTATGTATCCCTACATGCTGCAAGGTAGAAACATCCCCAACGTGCCTCTCCTGAAAGCATTCTTTGCTCACTTCGACAGAACCATCTCAAAGGTTTGTAGGCCAGCTGCACCAAGCTTGGTTGACATCGGCAACTTCACTGAAGTTTGGAAATTGAGATGTAGACACATCGAATTCCTTGATTTTCAATGGGAGATAAAACCAAATTGGCAATGTTTGAACGGGACATTTCACCATCTCTGTTTTCACAACAAACTGAATCATTGTATTTACTGTTGGAACTCCTCCAGAAGGCACCGGAGCCGGTGATTGCAGTGTGTAGCTCAAGCATGTTGCAAACATGGCAAGCCTCAAAATGCCTCAAGGTTAGGTGTGGAGCATGGCATTGTCGCATCAATCATCTCAATCATTACCGTATCCATATCCCACCTGGCGGTGGCTGATTTGCAAGCGCCTTGGATATGGCGCTATGGTGATCTCCATGCTGACGTTCAGTGTGGAGTGCCCACCACATAAACGGCCTGTCCAGACTGCGTATCACGGCACTCCACGAAGTTTACCTGCTACATCTGAAAGGGAGGACATTTGAGCATTCCAACCATCTTCTGTTGAAACTTACCAGCAGAGGCAATAAACCAAGCTCTTGGAGAGAGCTGTAGGCAGGGCTGTCATCATCTGCCAGGATGATCTTGTCATCATGGATTTTTGCTGTTTGCGATCGATTCAGCAATGAATGGACAAAGAAGTCTGCCTTGAATTCATTTCCAGCCTCATGGACCTCTGGATTCTACTCTGCTCCAACTGGCTGCATGGTTTTTTATTTGCTCAATCTGACAACGGCTTTACTAGATCAGATTTGCACTGTCTAGCTTGTGAGCCGCGCTGTCCTTCTTCAGGCCATGCAAATCTCCAGTGAATTCTCCTTATGGCCGTGCTTCTGAGGCTGCAGATGTTGGTTCCGTTGTGAGGTGTTCCATGAAGTCCGAAGCTGGTTGTCCTTTTGATTATCTCTCAGCTATCCGTGCCAATTTTTTTTGAGGCCTCTAAGATTATCATATTGGGTAAGATAATAAGTTGCCCATCTTATCCGAATATCTTCTCACCAGTAGAATTTGCGGGTGCCATAACTCACAAAGGACTCAGAGCAGCTTGAGTCAAAAGGCAAACTCACAGGTACTAGTCATTTCTCGTATTGCCCATGGTACTCGTATTCACAGATTTACACAATATGTTTTAAACTTTCAATGGTTTCTGTGGGTGCAATTGGGGGACGTGGAAACCACGCAGTCTCTTGTATTGTGATTTGGCAGAGACTGCCTTTACATCACGTTTTGAACGCATGAGCTTGCACGAAATTCCAGCACGCAGATTCTTGGCTGTAGTGTTGTATTTTGAGTAAGTTGGTACTGATGCTGGCCAGGGTTCCATGCTCCTGTCCGCCAGGTCTGTTGGATGCTTCGTTTCAGACGCCTGGGTGTTGCGGACAGGTTGGAGGCTGGGGAAGACGCTTTTTGCTGCAATGGCTGCAGATCAGATGCAGTCAACACCCGAAACAAGTCTCAGTTGCTTGACACATCTGTCAGGGAAAAATGTCCATCCTTGGCACTTCAACCAGCTTTTTGGATTCTAGACATGTGTGGGAGGTCTGGTCATCCCCATCAAGCCCAAGTTTTGATCATGCCACATGTTGATGTTATATATATATATATTACTGATAATAATATATATATATAATATATTGATAATATCTAATGATATTTAAAATATATAATGTGAACAATGATATGAATCATAATATAAATACTAATATACAAATTTATATATACATATGATAATAATATGGAAAACATATATTTATAATTATATATAATTATATATAATAACAATAGTAATAATAATAACATCAACAATATATATATATAGTATAATATAATATAATATAATATGATATAATATGATATTGCATTGTATTGTGTTGTACTATTGTATTGCATATGTTCACCACGCGGACCTGCAGTGATCCCGACAACCCCCACGGTAGGATGTGGATTCCGTTGAGTTTCCATAGTCATGGAGGTACCCCAATAGCTAGATGCCAATAATCATGGAAAATCCATCTATAAATCGATGAGAACTAGGGGTACCCATGGATTGGATACCTCCATATAGTTCCATATCATGATATCAAGTAATATCAAGTAACAATGTCTGGGGATGAAATGTGGCTGGTGAGTTCGGGTTGCCCAATTTGAAATCTAAAATTCTAAAGGTTCTGGCCTGCAGAGGTTAAGTTCTGCAGGTCAACCTTGTTAAACAGCGCCTCCATGCCACATCGCCAAGGTGGGAGGTGCTCAGTTGGTGCGGGGGATCAGTCTGGGGTCTTGGAAAATAGGCATTTGTCAGACAAGTACACATGAAAGACATTGAAAGACAATGGAAACTTAAACCGATTCATAGATTTCCTCGATGATGTTAGGATGCTGTCAATATACCGTTTGCTCCTCGGTGCCTTCAGAGGCAAAAATGAGGATTGTCGGATTGGTGCGTTGCTGCCCATCTTTGCCTCCAGTGTGGCCCAAAGCAGATGATTTGATGAGCATCTCATGGCGGGTGGCCCTTGCAAGGCTTTCTGCAATGGTGCCAGGAAATATGCTGACACGATATTTAGACGCCTGACTTTGCTCATTTGGTTGGCACTCCTACATCCTTTTTTTTGATTTCAGAGATGAACCAGTGCAGTTGTGACTTGTGATACTGATCCAGAACCCTCCATGCTTCACTCGCTTCGCTCTAGCTGCTCGAGCTGAGGATGGAAGGGCTCTGTCTTGCCATATAGCGCCCTCTTTGCAATGCCGAGTACCATTGGGTTTTAGTCTTGCACAATTTGTCATGGGTTCGTTATACCTGTTTTTTTGTGACATGTGATTTTGTGCTTTTGAATGCCTCAGAATTGTTGAGCGGTAAAAATGATTCCTCCAAAACTGACACTTTGTCAGTCCGAAATCAATTTGCCAACTCTTGGGTCATCAAACGTTGGGTGATGCCCCCACTCACAGTGTGTGGTGAAGGGGCAACTTCAAATGACCACAGCGAAATGATCGTCATGCCGGTGATTGCAACCATTGGGTCGAGGAAAGACCAAACTATAGTAGAAGCATGTGGGTTAGGGCCGAATTTCCCAAATTGGTATGCTCAGCTACTGAAAAAAAAAACGCAGGTTTGCGGTCCTTAATTTCTGATCCATCCCCATGTTTTCCCGGTGTCAAGGCTGTGTTGCACTACACTTGGAATCCTGACCTCAAGGGCTCAGACAACCCAGTCCTCAGTGGTTTCGGCCCTTCAGCAGCATGTGTATGGTGCTGACGGTTCCAGTTGGGGGTGGTTGGATGGATGCATAGAGGTCATAGAGAACTAGATTGATGGCAAGATTTTTTGAATGGACAGATGGATGGTCTGACCTTGATAGAAACCAAATTGAAACCGGTATCAGATACGGACGGTTTGAAGTCGCCCTCTGATTTATGGTGAATTTGTGTGGTGCAGCCACAGCATGATGCTGGAAGGATCTTAGTCCCGCAACCATAGCTGTCGTAGCTGCGATGTAAGCTTGCTTCATCCAATCAGCTGTGGATATAGGTGATATAGGTCACTGGGTTTCAGACTCCCATGTTTCGATTGGGATGACACATCCAAACAACCAATATTATATATATACACATATAATTATATGTATACATATTTATATAGTTATATATATATACATGTATATACACATCACGGGGTGACGCAACCGAGGCAACGTGTGGGGCGCTTATACCTTTGCGTTGGGTTTTCTCATTGTTTTTCGCAACAACCAAGCGTACAGTCGCACCTTGGCACCCGTGGAGCTGGCCTGGAAAGGACTTGCCATGCGGAATGGCTTGCCATCGAAGTGTTGCAAGTCGTTTCCAACATGTTTCCAAAATGTGCACAGAAGACAGTATTCTAGTTTTTGTATGTTTTTGTTGGAATTGAGTACCTGCGTCAGAAAGTGTTTGATGTTGAAACGCGGAAAATGAGTGATCAAGAGAAATTCCAAGTGTATTCAGCTTCCGAGTTCCAATATCATGTTCCAAACAGCCAGGGTTTCCAAGTCACCAAAGGGTTCAGCCCGAGGCATTTCACTGCTTAAGTTCAAAATATATACTAAAGGGTGTGCTTGGATGGAGCACCCAACAGTTGACAGAACAGGGTTTCTTCGGACAACGAGCGAAGTTCCTTTTTGGTATGAGACATGACTGAAGTATTGAAAAGAGGTAGACAAGAGCTGAAAGAAGAAATAACACGCAATTTTAAATAAAGATTGCAAAACAATGAGCGTTATCATTGATAATGTCATGGTGTGATGTGGTTTTGATTTCTATGAGGATGTAGGTTGGCAAAGGAACCTTTGCACATGCTATTACATAGTGCGGGATTTGCAACCTTCCGCGTCTGAACATTACAGCACCTTCAAGATACACCAACTGTGACATTTTTATGGATGAACGCAGCACCAGGGCTTTGTTTGGTCCCACAAAATTCAGCTCTTTTTTAGGGAGACAGCCAGGTTTCATGGAAGGAGCCAGCAAAGTTCAAGAGATCCGGGCGGAGTTGCACAACTGCGCCAGTATTTTGATCGCTTTCTGCAATGCCAAGGAGTGCTGCGCTCCTGGAAATGCCACAAGGGCCTCTGCACACTGGAAACGTTTAAATGGACAAACAAGATACAGTAACGACAGAAATAGTTGGGTTCTCATCCCTGATCCTTTCTCATCTCGTTGGGTTTCATCACAACAAAAACGAATTGCCTCCATTCAATGAATCATTGAGGAGATGTGTCTTTTCAAGACAGCTGGGAGGTTGACATGAACTGGACAGTGGGTCAAGCTGGACCAAGAATATGTCATGGCAAAACTGGGACCCAGCATTGACAATACAGAATTCCAAGTTCAAATGAGATAAGATGAGGTGAACATGAGATGACATCGTATTTTCACATTTGGTTTCCTCTCAGTATGGCACAAACAATATCCTTCTTTGTCCTTGTTCATCACAAAAACTGTCAAGATTGAATCATTGATTTGTCAGTTTGTTTGGGGTGGGAGGTTCAACCATCCTATATAGATATTATAGATGGCATTTTCGAACAGATATGCCTCAAGGAAAATCGATTTCGGAAGCATCCCCCTTTTGCCAGGTTATGTGCTTGCCGTGCTTGCCGTATTGGTTTGATTTTGAAATGAAGGAAGAAACAGGCAGATGCCTCATATCAAGTTCACTCAAATATTACTTTCTTTTCCACTAAGGGTCTTCTTCAGCATATTTGCAAGCGAGCTCAAGAAATATTTCTCTGCAATTGTGATAGAAATAGCTGCCATATTATGGATGTGGAGGAAGGGATGGGGCGCGATACAAGTCTGCGCATGATGGAAATACAGTAGCCGATGCGGGGTGATGAGAACTCACATGCAATGGAAATAGCTGCTATCGACAAGGGGCTGTGGAAAACTTCCTGCGAGTGCATGTGACATATGATGGGGGAGGGGGGGTTGACATAGTTGTGCAAATGCCAGAATTGCCAGAAGCTCGCAGTGTTGTTGGAGGCAGGTTTAGACTGCCCTGAAGATTCAGGGGCTCATACTAATAACTTACTAGTAGGTAGCAGTTGAGAAATGGTCAAAGGCACGGTAGATGTAATGGAAACGGCCCAAGTGGAGCAAAATTGATCCAAGGCTTTCCACTGGACACTCCATGGTGAAAGCAACCCTTACCTCCGAGTGCCTGGTTATTTCTATTCATTGTGAGCCACGGGAGCTTTAACGCGTTTCAAAATATGGACCCCACCTTTGAAAAACATGTCTGGGCGCCAGTTTGCTGGAGGATGAAGCCGTGGAAGACTTTCGGCAGCTGCTGGTACGGCTTATTGGGCTGCTGTTCGCAACTTGCATGAGTGCCTTGGAAGCCAACCTCCAAAGCAGATTGAAACGGTTTAGGACAGGGTGTGTTGGCAAGACGAGGTAGGGCCAGCTTTCCTGGTTCAGAACCAACATGATGTTTCTGAGCAGCTCATACTCCCGTGAGGTGAATTGACTGCGAGCGAGGATGGAGATGAGATGATGCAGGTTGCCCAGCCGTTGCCAGGGTCTTGTTGGGAGAAGGAGCAGACAGCGGTGGTCCCTACGCCGTCGTGGAAAACCACATCAAAATCACCATCCGCGCCGCCCACACGAAGTTCATGAGAAAAAACACCTAGTTCAGCAAGTTCAGCATACAGTGCAAGATCTGGAAGAAACGTTCAAGGTGAGAGGAGTGCTAGTCAGGTGGCAGGTGGTTCACAAATTTCTAGTTCTGCTGGAGGAGAAGCGAATCGTAAAGAGATGACGTATGGCGAAAAATCCAAGGGGAGACATCGCAGAGACCACAGCTTGTAAAACATTACGTCAGCTGCAGATCCTTGCATCATCTATAAGCCTTTCGGACTGGAACTGCTGGCAGGCTAGGATTACCAAGAATCGCCCGCTGTCATATATATCATATATAGAGCATCTTTGCTAACCCTTTCGTTCAGCAGGCCTAGTTTTTCAGGCACACCTAGGACAGTGGCATCTCCAAAGTGAATGAAAACTCAGACGGACCAGCAACTTGCGTTGCGCAAAATGAACTGCATGATTCTAACAATCTATGGCCACAACAAAACGAGGCAGTGCAGATACCTCAGCTTATACGCAGGGAAGCGCAGAAAATACTGCTGTTTGTCGTTTGCTGTTTGTGTTTAAAAGCTGCAAAAAAACGTACAAATGCCAGCAACGTTGCTGTTTGAAAAGCAAAAAAGCACCGTCGAGGGAGGTTTATCTACAGAAACTTTCGAGTGGCAAATGCCAGCAGGCAATCTGCACCAATGCTATACTTCCCAGCAAATGACCCCTTGACTTGCAGATTTAATTACAGTTGGCTTGTCAAGTGCCAGAGTAGCTGCCTTCAGGCTTTGCACTTTGTAGTTTTTGATAACTTTGGCAAAATCAAAGAGGATGCGTTTGACTTCACAGAACACAGCAATGTGTTAGGGCAGCTAATTCATGCTACGCAGCCCTAACACATTGCCCTAACACAGCAGCAAGTGTGCGTGGTTTGCAAGTAGAAGCCGGCAGCTAATTCATGTTACTTTCACCTAGTAGCCCAGTCTTGTGTCATTTTGCAACTTTTACAAACAAAAAAGGCACTTCATCTTTTGGTGCAGCATATTTGGCCAAAGTGCAAAAGATACCCGTAAAAGACCCGTAAAGAGCCATGAATACCCGTAGGGATCCTACTTCTGAAATGGTACGATTTCCAGAGACCAAAATTCCGGGCACTTTGGAACTTTGGAACTTTGGAAGGTGCCCGAAACAATGGGCGCCAGGTTTTCCACGACACTTTGTAGTAGCAAGTCGCAGCAAGTAGCAACAAGTCCACTAGTGTCTGAGAGTGTCTTCGAAGAATGTATCTTCCAGTGTGTGTTTCAAAAGAGTGTCTTCCAAACAACTACCCTCTCAAAAGAGTGTCTTACGAGAATGCCTTCTAAGAATGTCTGACAAAAGTGCACAAAAGTGTTTAACGGGAGTATGTCACCAAAGGGTTCGACAATCATGTCTTCCAAGAGTATCCAGCACAGCTCTCCGCATCACATTTTCGAAAAGCTAGAACAGTCACTCATGTTTGCGATAGCGTTGTAAGATGGTTTCTCACACTAAAAAAAGGCGTCATTTCGGGTCCAAGATTGGCCCAACATAGCCTAGTCCGGAAGCCGAAAAACACATTTAACCACCATGCTACCGGAAACCTGCTGTGACCCGAAAAAAGCACGCTACCCAGGTCACCCAAACTAAAGCATTTCATAAAACTATAGGATCATATAGGAATAATATAGATATTTCAATAATATAGGGATTATAAAACTATAGGATCTATAGGCCCAAATGATATTTCCGTTTTCTCCAACATCGCAAGATGCTTTCGGCAGGTCATAGACCTTATGGGGATCGATGGACAGAGCGGCTTGGAGCATTCATGGGACCTGTCATTCTGGGACCATGCTGGCAAACAATGGGAAGGAAACCCAAACGAATGCAAGTATGGTATCTTGATGGGGGTAGGGCAGTCATCCCATAGTTTGCATATTTGATTGGTTTTTCTTCACTTGGAACCTGTCAACAGGTCCGGGTTTGCGGGGTTACCTGGGATAGCGGCAAAATCACGATGGGATCACTCAACCAATGTGCTTCCCTTGGAAACTCTGTGACCTGCAGGATATAGCGCGATAACAAGTTAAGATAAGTTAAGCATGTAACCCAGTTGCCCAAAATGAATTCCCTGCATCAATTCCATGTGCACCCTTTGGAGAACCCCTCTTGGTTTCGCTGCCAGTGCTTCACCGTGAAACTACGACTTCCATGCTGTTTCCAAGGTCTTAAGCACTTGAGAGGAGATCATTCGCACGAGTCCCGGCGGCGTCAGTGTGAAGTCATCGTGCGCAGCTGTTGGGTTGTTGTGTGATCTCGAAGACATAGGCGATTGACCGCATTGAAGTATGTAACACCATAGAACATCTCTTTTTTGATGGTAGAGATGCAATGACTTTGTGATGCTGGGGCTGGAATGGTGGTGCACTCTTGCAACCTCTGCCAAGACCTATTTTATTGGTTGAAGTGCAATAAATGTTTAATCTATCAATATCTTTCATACCGAGCTCTGAGTGACGGAACTTGGCTTCTGAGTATTCCTTGACCCAGTACTTGTACTTCAGGGATTCGATAGGATTCTGTCTGTGGCAGCAACCAGAACCTTGGTCGGGTGAATGGGGTCCATCCCACTGATAACACCTTTCGCTGATTCGAGTCGGGAATAACTCCTGGATCTGGAGGACAAACATGTTCTAAGTTGTTCCATGTTGTTCCCATTTTTGTTCCTTTTCGATTTTTTCGGGCTTCTTCGGTATTTTCGGGCAGAGAGGTACATTGGATTATGTGCCTCATCAAGAAATCCTTGGATGAGACGCTGGGCAGCAGTTGTTTCCGCGGACGCCATGGCAGGATGTTTGACTCCCCAAGCAACAGCCCCTGGGACTTCTAGAATGGCCTCGTGCCCGTTGATGCCTTTGATGATTTTTAAAGGTGTTCTTAACAGTCAGAGCCTGATATCTCCTGACTGTGTACGGAATTCTTATTCGCTTCCAGTTGGGGATCACGCTTCAGAAGCCAGATGTCACAGTAAGCCTGGGTGTCAATGCTTGCAGCTTTCCAGGATGTGAATGGATGTCATGTTTAGAATTGCTGCAATTGTGGTTTCAGAGGGCCCTTAAGCTATAGACCCAGGCAACCAATCCAATACAAACATATGTTTGACCATGGCGAGAGCACTTGTTGACTCAAAGACAGGCTCGGCTGTTCATTGTTCATTGAATTATATTGAATTCATTGATTTATTATTTCAGTGATTCATGGATTTATTGATTTATTCATACATTCATGTGAGTCATTTACTGGTTAACGGATTTATTTATTGATCCTTTGATTCATCTCTCATGGTATGTACTGTGATTCATGTGGGACCAGCTACGTAGGACTAGCTACATAGCATTACATTGACATGCTGGCTATCATTTACCAATCGGATCATTCATTCATTTGTTCAGTGATGGTTTCATTTATTTATGTTTTGAGTTTTGAGGTTTTAGTCACGTTCATTCATTTACTCAGATCTTGGTTCATTGGTTGCTTGTTCATGGTCTTATCTTCTTTTTTATCCATTAATGAGTTCATTTCCTTTTGTCATCTTCTTCCTTCTTTACGTCACTCCTTCAATTGCTTGAATGGGGGATTCCTTCCGTTGCTCCTTTGTTTTTTTTGTTCATTTGATGAATGAATGACTCAACCTTCCAATCAGCCCAAAAGGCCCACGAATCAGTCAGTCACGGGAAGGGTCAGTGAACCAGACGAACACTGAATCTGTCAGCCCATTTAACGCAATGACGAAAACGTATCCTTTTCCCAATGGTATGCTTCACCTGAGTTCCATCTTCAGAGGAATTTTCCAAGCCCTAGATGTATCCTGCTTCCGTTTCTGTCATTAAGAAAAAGCAAAGTGGGTGGCAGAGAAGCGCTTCCTAGTTCAAGCTGGTTGCGACGCTACGATATACCTAGCTTTCAGCTTCCTATTGGCTGAGGATTCAAACCTGGAGCATGCAAAATGGTTGACTTTTGGTCATTTTGGGGTTGCGGTACTATGAAAGGGCATTAATAATATATCCAAGGAAGTTTAGAAGTCAAACTTCCGACAATATGGACAGATGAAAAGCAGAGATGGGAAGAGTCAGAGAAGAGAAGAGAAAAGAAGAAAGAAGATCACAAAAGAGAAAGTCTCAGAAGAAAGAAGATCCAGGTGCGCGAAAAGGTAGGAAAGTCGCGAAACACTGTGTTTTTCCAATGATTTGTGGCGAAGTGTATACTCGGAAGTTTGTGGATCAAACTCTTCGCTAACTCAATGTAAATTCAAACAAGTCGCACAATCTGAAAGATGGTGCTTTTCTTTTCTGTCCAAGTTTTCACTCATTTTGGTTAGACTTGTACAAACTCCTTTACAGCATGTTTTCACGGTTTTTGGAAACATTCCCGTTTTGGATGTCAGAATCCTTCCTGGGTTTTCCCGGCCTTTGGAAAAACATGTCCGGATCAAACTTTTGGGTTGGAGCGATTTTTCAAACAGAATGCAGTTGCGACAGGAAACGGTTTCGACAGTAGTAGCTGTTTTCGAAGAATTCAAAACATCGATGGAAATGATTTTCTCATACACCAAACAAGCTTAAAAATTCTCCCTAAGTGTGTTCGCACATTTTGCCCGAAGACCTACAGCTTTTGAAAGAAGCGCTCCCTGATGTAGCTGAAGTTCCGATGGCCGAGAATTTCATGCAAAAATTGAAGTTGCAGGCCCGATCTGGGGCTGTGAAACGGGTGTTGCATGTTCTATCACGGGAGGGTGCCAACAGACCTCTCATCCTTCCAAAACTCAGCCTTGCTTGATCACTTTCATGATTTGAACATGGGAACCCGCTTTTGAATATATAATTGCACATTCTCGATTCTTGCACCGTAAATATCTAGTTTGTGCCATAGGCTCGAGGTCTCTCATGTTTTTTGGCTGTTTGCTGTCGTCCCAAAACCAACCAGCATTGTCCTGCAATCTCGCGGAGTCTCCCTGTCAATCTGTCCGGGTCAATGAAGTGGGCAGAAGCGAGCAGAGCAGACGCTCATGTGCCAGTGCCGACAAGGAATCACTGACAACAAGGGAACGAAGAATCTCAGCAAGGTCGGTAACCTGAGCCTGGGCAATCACCAACATTGCATGCAATCCATTGCTCCTATCATTTGATGACCCGCTCTTAAGAATGCTTCATTTTATCACATCCTATGTGTACTTTTTTTTGGCACCACAGCTTGAGGTCTTGGATATTTTCAGATGATGTCATACCGAAACTACACGCTCGTGTCGACTGTTAATAGTATATGTAATAGTATATATTGTATATAATGTCTATATAGTATGTATGTATAATATATATATATGTAAATAACATGTTTTCGATCTATAAGATTTAATCACATATATATATAGAGCCCTATATAACCCGGTATATCCACCACGTGCCTATATATATTCCCTAAGGGGTGGGGGGGAGGGTTCGTTCGGACCCTGTTGTTTAGAACGCCACTATGCCCAATTTTCAGCGGCACTGTCGTTCAAGTTGGACTCCAAAAACTGGATCCGAGCCTATAAAGGGACTAACCCGGAAATTAGGGGTTAAAAAAGAACGACAGGTCTAGGAAATACAGCCCGGTTTTTTACCCGAGACAACCCCGTACCGAAAAGGAGCCCTGAAAACTTTCAGGAGGGATATTTTTCAAGAAAAACGCCGCGAGATCCATAAGAACAAGCTGATAGAAAGTCAAAAGTAAAGATTTTCAAGCATCTGTCGAATAAAAGTCAAAACAAGAAAACACACAAAAAAAAAGCCGCCGAAAATACCACAAAAACACAAAATTCCGTTTAACAAAAACACCAAAAATGTATCCGAGCCTATAGGGTACATGCCGACAGGGACAAAGCCAAAAAATCATATGTTAAAAACTACCGACAGGTCTACGAAATACAGCCCGGGTTTCTAACGCGGCACACCCCTACCCAAAGGAGTCCTGAAAACTTCGGGGAGGGTCATTTTTGAAGCCACTCCAAAAAACACAGCTCCAACCACCTTTCGGTCCATCAGTGGATTCCCTCTGCCATCCGTGATTCACAACAACCAATCTCTCCTATGGGTTTCCTATTTTTGAAACTTCCGCCACCGCCTTGTGCGCTACTACTGGTACACCATTATATACCTGTGTTATCATATAACACATTAGAGAGAGGGGGAGAGAGAGAGAGAGAGAGAGAGAGAGTCGAACCAAGGGGAATCCTCAAGGGTGTGCCCCCCCCAATCTTGACGCTTGGCTGCATTGGCAGTTTTCTCAGTCTATGCTTTTAATCAAAGGCATGGGGGACTACAGACTGTGACAAATCAAGACGGTACCTACATATGATCGACTTTCCAGTTGACCTTTTCTTGGGGGTTGTGCGTTTGTGTGACAGTAGTGCCGGACGCACGTATTTCCGAACTCTTTCTGGTTTGTTCCTGCGTCTGCATTTCCGAACTTTGTTTGGAGCTTTTGAAGTCTGGCTGATTTCTGCATCCATTTCGTTTCTTTTTGGACATCAGATTGCCTTGTTTGCCATAACGTGCTGGCAGTTGCCTGTTTTGGTTTTAGGATGCTGGCAGAAGTGATTTTGTTTCAGGAAACTGAGCAGAATCACTGCAAACTTTCCGTACGTTTGATCCGAAAATTTGTGAGTTGAGATGATTAGAGTATAACCCATGTGCTCCATGGTGCTGGTATATTTACGTACATAACTGGGTGATTTTGTTGGGGCAAATGATAAGTATTCCAGCACCATGGAGCATATAGGTAATGGGACAGTTTGAGCGCCGGAACTGTCCAACGAGGGCACAAGGCAAAGTTCATACAGCTAGTGGAGTTGCAGCCAACTCTCCTTGGGTTTGTCAAATGTACCTGCGTTAGAAGCAAAAGGCTTGTCATTGCAGCGTGAGTTGCTCGGAAGTTCTAACAGAAGTTCTAACTGCTTCCTGCACTTGGATGCGATTGACATCTCATTCAAAAGAGGTTAAAAGTGTTCCCTTGAAAAAAGGATCCTCTAGGATTAAACTGGTCGAAGTCCAGCAGTGGTTTCCATCAGCACTGCTTTGACTTCTTCACCAGGAACAAGGCAGTTTCAGACCTGGCAATCGTCGACATCTATCGCGTGCGAAAGATCAAGGAGGTTCCGCGGTTCCGCATTCCATACGCCTTGCATGTTCCATCATTGCAGCTGAGAATGATGATGGTTTGAAAATATGGGCTTGATCCAGGGGGCAGATGGCTGGCCATCGTTAGTTTTGAACGATCTACCGCCATTTTCCCTGATGTTGATCCCATTTAAAACGTGCCTGCTTTCCATGTATGCCGATTTCGCCTTGAGCATCGGTTAAAGATTTGTCGCAAAACGCCATCACTTTTGGCCAAACAGCAATGGGTCATGGTCTTCCTCGTGGGCTACCTGTAGTTCCAGTAGTAGCCGTTTATTTTCTTTATGTCAGCGAACTACTCAACAACCATCGTGTAAAACAAACTGGAACAAATACTGTTGTCACAGCCTCTGGGCATTCTAGTCCTTGCCCTTGCCTCTAAGACTTCCACTTTTTTGGTCGCACGCGTGAGAACCATGCGAGTGTTGAAGTGGGCATTTTTCCGGCCATTCCTGACCCATGGCGACCTTTAGGCACAGCTTACCTGCCAAGCTTGCCCAGCCCTGCAGGTGCCGGTTCCTTTGCCCTACTCACAGATGGTACTGGTGATGCTGACCCTGTATGCACTGGTGACCCCACTGATCGCCAGCCAGATGGTTGTTTCTTCAGTCGCAGCAAGTTTGGTGCCTTGGCTGGGGAGGGTAGACATTCAATGGCCATTTCAGGAACTAAATTGGAGGTACCTACGATATATAAAGCCTATACAAGTGCTTAAGGCGTATGTAAGGGAATATCCCCACAACATATGGCCTTATATAGTACAGTACCTACATTTTAGGATCCTGAAATTCCCATTGAGAAATGGGTAGGTTGGGGACTAGATGTGACTGTTGAAACTACGCCAACACTTTCTTGGGAAGGATCTACGTTCTGCGCTGCCCACAGCCACAATGGAGCCAGCTTTGCAAGCCTGGATTGCAAAACACTGGGTAGAATAGCTGTTCAGCAACAGCATCTGCAGTTCCACTATTCCGTCCACACTCCTACCATGAGCCAATAACATGCACCCGCGCAGTAGGACCTCTTCATCACGGGGTAGACTTTGTGAGAAAGTCACCACCGCGTTACAAGCCTTTCTACTGCACCCCATGCTGGTACGGCTGCTGAGATGTTGCGTTTCTGTAACGGTGTAATGATGCTGGTTATGTGACTGCTTTTACTACCTTTATTACCTTTATTGCGTTTATTCGCGTTTATTGTGTTTATTGCCTGTATTGCGTTTATTGTCTTTATCGCCTTGTTGCTTGTATTGCTTGTACTGCTTGTACTGCTTGTACTGCTTCTATTGCTGTTGTTGTTGTTGTTGTTGCTGTTGCTGTTGCTGTTGCTGTTGGTGTTGTTGTTGTTGTTGTTGTTGTTGTTGTTGTGGTCGTGGTCGTCGTCGTCGTCGTCGTCGTCGTCGTTGTTGTTGTTGTTGCTGTTGTCATCGTCGTCGTACTCCTCCTCCTGCTCCTCCCCCTCTTGCCCGTCGTCGTCCTCGGCGTCGGCCGCCGGGGCGACGGCGGCGGTGGCAGTGGTTACGTTGTTGCAACCGTTTGCTGTTGTGATGGTAGATTGGTGTGGGGGGAAATCTTATGGTGCAGCGACATGATTGGAAATTAGTATGTTGTGGGACTGAGATGTTGACAACGTCCAAAACTCGGATTTCGTTCGTGTAAGTGGCTGTTGATGTTTGATGAATTTAAATACACTGTCATTCACTGTATCAACATGCTAACTAGTGTATACATGCAGTGCAATATCATGCAAATCAGTGCAAGGCAATACAATGCTATTTAGCGTAATACAACGCACCGTTATGTAGTTTAATGCGGTTCAATGCAATCGTGAAATCATGACCATGAGACATATATGTTTGCATGTTGTCGGCAAGGTAGGCTTGGAACAAGCGATGGACTCTTTAGTACTGTTCAACTTTTCGATCTTTATCCTTCCTCTCGTTATTTCCTGATGATCATAATATATTCATTTTTTGTTTTATTTTATATAGTGATCATATCTTGAGTCATGCATGTTCATGAACGTGCTCTGCCCAGGTCGACCTGTTCCGGCCATTTTGGACTCAAGAAAAGTGATCACTCCAGTCCTTGTGGGAATTTTTGTCCCTGTTTGCTCTGCCTGTGAAAGGTGTGAGATCGGTAGTACAAGGGCCTGGGAGTGTTCACTTCAGATGCCACAATCTAGCTTTCCCCCTTGCTGGCCATCCCCGCTCTCTCTCAACAGAAAGCCATGGCCGCTCGTCGTGCTGCAGATGCGGTGTTCCCGTCAGAAAGTGCTAGTGGAGTGGGCTCGTGGACAGCGATACCTGAGGCGGCTCAGCAGGCACCTGTTGAATGGTCAGCTCAGCCACAGGCTACTGCTCAGGCAGCACAGACTGCTCAGGAGGGAAAGCAGGATCAGAATGCTTGGGACGCAGACAGTGATGATGATGCTCCTCCCCAAGACTTCAACTTTTTCGCTGAGGCTCCTCAAGCATCAGCGAGTGTTCCTGCGCAGCAGTGAGGTAATGCTCCTGCCACCCAAGCTGCCAAGAACTTGGTCGACAATCAGATTCCGAAGTCGTCCAAGCTCGCAAAGCAGAAGGCCCGGGCCAAGGAGAAGGGCCACCGTGGAGTTCGTTGGGGCCAGATGCCAGCTCGCAACGCGTTTAGCCCTCAGAACTTCCAGCTACCACCATTTGTGCAACAATTGGGATCAGGGCCTGATGAACGATCGGTTCTCATTGTCGACAACCGGGACATGAGGATCACTAGCCCTTTCCAAGGGTGGCTGCTGGATGAGATCCTCCTGAACGCGCTGTCGGGGATCAACATACTGTCAGATCGACAGTTATTGCGGTCACCCAGTTCTGGGTACCACATGAACATCTTCTATGTCCGGGCGATGGACGGCTCCAAACTGATCCTGGTTGGATCTAGGACCAGCTACGGATCACCACCTGGAGATGAGGGGATACCGCTCAGAGCAAGACATGACGGTGCAGCTCAACATCAACGATGGATTGATCACGTCGTTGAGGGAGGAGCTGTTCATCCCTGCAGTGGTGGTGACGATCTTCCAGGGCTGGCGAGTGGTCGCCGTGAGCTTCGAGGTTGGTGGCAGGATCTATGCCTGCAGTGAGAAAGGGGTTGTCGTTGCTCTCGACTTTCCCCTGTGCCACTTTGAAGTGAGGATGACAGCTCTGTCATCAGCGGACTCAGTTGGAGTTGATGCTGATCGACTGGAGTTTCGATTCAGGTCTGCGGGGGACAGTGTGGACGTGACTTGCTCTCAGATCACAGTTCCCTCAACCTGGCTCATCCTCTCTCGAGTTTCTGGGCCCACTCTCATCCAAAACGCTCGCTGGTGTCGTGAGCGTCATGCAAGGGTGGAAGGGCCCGATCAAACTATGCAGATGTCACAGTTGGCAGGGATCCATGCTCACTGGACAGCTGCCACTGATGCTCCGACTGTGGCAGACACGGGTCCTCGTGTGGGCGCGGTCGCAGTGGGGACTCACCAGAACAACTTGCACTTGACGTGTGAGTCGCCGCTCTTCCAGGCGCAGAAGGTCATCGTGCCGGCAGAAGCGATCGCCCTGCAGTACCACGACCCCGAGTTGGAGAGGAGGGCTCTTGTGGTGCCGCCGGTCTTGGATGGGCCGATGGCTATCCCAGTGGATCAGGCACCAAGCTCCTTGAGGGCGTTGGCTGGCCCGGCTGCGGCTCCTTTGCAAGCAGCCCCGCCAGTGGAGGCCACGGTCTCTGTGACGGAGGCAGGTCATGCGCCTAAGGCTGCAGCTCCAGGTGATTTGACCGTGCATGTTCATCGCCGGTCGCTGGAGGCTCGACAGCAGGAGACTCTGGCAGATGCTGCAGTGACACCCCAAGCCTTCCTTGATCAAGTGAACATGGTCAGGCAAGGTGCAGCGGGTGGGGGCTCAACGTCGTCTGTGCCTCGCTCGTATGGGCCACCGCCATTGATCGAGGAGGTCACGGATTGTTGATTGTGGATCATGCGTTTTATGATCAAGTCCCTTCCAGCAGCGAGGGGCGCAATCGCTCAGAGAGCCTTTTACTTTGCCTGGATCCCAGGTCGCCATAACAGCTAAAAAGTGCGGGCAGCAGCTTCGCGTGGTAGTGAGTAATTGATCGTTGCTCTTCACCCGCAAGCTCCCCCAGTGTTGGGCGTTTACCCCAACTGCCTTTGTTTTTCTGTTCCTCTAACCCGGCTCAGGCGACGTCCTCAGTTGGTCGTTTTGGGGGACCCCAGATCGAGAGTGATGTCTGAGCGATAGACTCCGCATGTGCTGAGTCAGTCATCAGACTCTGCTTGATCGTAATTCGAGGGGTTTGCTCTGAGTTTGGGGTTGTTAGAGGATCTTAGAACATTGTATAACACTTATTGCACAATTAGAATATTTTGTGGCATACTGATCAGATGTTGCATGTGTCCGCAGGGTTCTGAATGCGTTGCGTTCATGAGCCCCTGTTGTGGCGGTTCTTGAGTTGTAGTGTTGTTCCAACTTGAACTTGCTCGATTCAAAGAACTCACATGCTATGCACATCTGATCATGTGGATGCTCACGTGCCGTTCATAATGGGGGGTGCTGTTGAGGTGCATGCCTCAGCGCATGGGGTGATCTCAGAACCTTGTTGAGCTGTGTGATACGGATCCTGTGTTGTTCAACATGGGTCTGTCCCGGTTCTTGTTGGTTGAGGTTCACCCCATCCCCCATCCCCCTTCTTTTGTTAATGGTCATATGCTTTGAGGCTTCTTAGGTTGAAGGTCCTGTCTTAATCCTCAGTTCAGCAATCGAGCCTCAAGCTCGCTCGAGCCCAGGTGCAGAGCCCAGCTCGGGTGGAGTTTCCTCAGGGGAGGGATTGAGCTGTGAGCGACAGCAATCCCCGTTCATAGGTGATTGGTCATCCAGTTCTTTCTCTCTTTTGAGGTCGAGTTAATGGTTATATGACTATGATAGTTGCGACGCTCGTCATTTTACTGATAGATACTTTGAGGCTCCTTAGGTGAGGTTCTTTGATCTTTTTCGGTAATGTGGCGAATGCAAGTAGGATCGCACGTCAGTAGTGCAAACATGGCTCAGGGGCCCGACAGATGGGCAAGCAAAATCTTGTCCCTTCCTGTGTTCAGTGACGCATTTGCTCAGGCGATCCATGGCTCTCCTTTCTCAAATTTGGCGTTCGTCGCCGCGATGGAGGTGGGATCGGCTCATGAGTTTGTGTCTAAGGTTGGTGACTGGGCTCCGCAATTAGATGAGTCGATTAGAGACGACTTGGTGAGCTCTACATTTATGTTGGAGCAGTTCTGGTCGTTAGCGTGCTCAGTTGAGAAGGCCTTTTTCGAGTCCACAGCCAACCAGCTAGGGTTTGGCCTATGTGAGACTCCGGCCCCCCCTATCAGCGCTGTGTCAGCCAAAGCTCGTAGGGCGGGGGCCACCAAGGCTCTTTCGGGAAAGATAGTGAATCCCCCGAGTTCTTGAAAACCAGCCCTGAGCCGCAGTCTGCAACGCCTTTGCTCGACCAGGAAAACGCGGCTCGGTGGAAGTGGGCCGCGCGGCTGGAAGAGATCGGGCGAAAGGCGGGCACCTTCTCGAAGTTGTTGCTCGACACATCCAACGAGAAAGGTCTCTCGCATGCAGAGGTGGCTCGTCTGCGACAGCTCGTTTTGTCATCGGGGGCGCCGCGGACAATGGCCACCCACGTGACGAACTGGGAGCGGTTCGCGGAATGGGCAGAGGCCAAGGAGATCGAAGTTTTTCCTTTGTCTAGTGCAAAATTAATTCAATACGCTCTTCATTTAGATCATCTTGAATGTGGCCCATCAGTAATCCCCACTTTTAGGACCTCTGTTAAATGGGTTACTGCTAAGTTGGCTATTGAGTGCCCTGACATTGATCATCAAGGGCTGCTGGCAATTCAGGCCGAGGTGATCAGCAAGCGCGCTCGGACCCTGAAAGAAGCGGTGCCCATTCCAACGACAGTGGTTCGTGCAATGGAGCTCTTGGTGGTGGATGAGGAGGAGCCTGAGGCTACTCGCCTGTTCACATGGTGGTGGCTGTGCATGGTCTTCGCTTCTTTGAGGTTCGATGACGCTATGCATGTGCGCCCAGATGAGCTCATCCTGAATGAAGAGGACATGTTCGGAGTTGCCTGGCAGACCAAAGTGGAGCGCAAGAGGCGTGGCACCAAGTTCGTAGTGCCGCATGTTGGGTTCTCGGGGTCTGACTGGCTCCGTGCTGGATGGCAGCTCCTTCAGAATGAGCATTTTGCGCTCGCTAGAGACTATTGGATGCGGGACCTCAACTCTCGCGAGGCGTTCCGCAATGGTCCAGCTCAGTACCAGAGATCGGTGCAGTGGCTCCGGTTTTTGGGTCGCTATGCGCTCAATCATTACCACCAAGGGGAGGAGGTTGAGTTCAAAGAGCTGGCGGCAGTCGTGAACACCCTGACAGCTCACTCTGCTCGTGTCACAATGCTCGACGCAGCGGTGCATGCAGGCCGTAGCACGGAGGAGATCGGCCTCCAAGCCAACTGGAAGAATCCTGGGCCGCTTGTGCTCAAATACACCCGCAATCGGTCGGCCATCCCAGCCAAGATGGTCCAGCAGCTGGTCAAGGACATGTTCACTCAAGAGCACCCGGTCGAGGTCTCGGACGATGCAGAGCTCGATGCAGTGGATCAGTCCGCCCTTGACCAGTTCCAGTTCTATGTCAAGACCAACTGCTCAGCCCAGCCGCGGCTTATGACTGTCGATACCATTGTGCAGCTCTGGGAGAGGAGGAAGCACTAGCTTGTGGACGGCTGAAGCTTGTCGACTGCACCCATGTGGGGTCGTGCCTCCCCGACATTGCCATGCTCTGCAAACATTGTGCCTGAGTGAGGCCAGAGATCGCAGAGTCCTTTGCTCAGTGCACGTAGCGTGTCGCTCTGCTGCATTTAGTTTGGGTGGTGCTTGACGCTCTGTGGAGCTCTGACACACCATTTAAATTTGTCCAGCAGTATTTTGCTCAGTTTTCTTTGTTTGCCGATCACAGTGGCCATGGTGGATCGCACCGTCTACGCCGATGACAAGACCCCTGATCTGGCGCTGCGACAAGTCTTTGGTCGTCAGCGCGTTTCGCAAGATCTCTGCAAGTTGGCCGCCAACGCTGGTTTGCTCACAGTCGAGACTTTCGCCATGTTGTGTGATGACATTGCATCGGTCAAGAACACGATCAAGAACCTGGTGCCAGACATCACTGCTCTAGGCGCTGACGGCCCTGCTCAAGAACTGGCGCTTACTAGTTTGGCAGCCGTGTGGAAGACCTGTGGCACCATGCAAGATCATTTTGCCAATCGGCGAGCAAAGATGGAGGAAGATCCGTCCAAGGTCCCTGAGATCCCAGGCGAAGACCATGCGGAGTTCCGCGAAACATTTGTGGCTCGACACCCTGACGTTCTTCTTCCCCTCCATCAAGAACCACATCGGAAGTTTGTCGAGCGTGTTCAACGGGATTATCTGGTTCATGGCTTTGTCCACTTCTACGAAGTGGGCGAGATCCGCACCCGCAATGAGCAGATCGCTCAGAAATCAGGCTTGACCAAGAATGCGGAGGATTTGTTGCGTGTGGTCATGATCGACCAGCCTGCCTCAGCAAGCTCGGAATCACAGGTCATGGACAAGCTCCACGCGTTCTTCATCACCTTGGAGTACCTCACCATTTGCGAGTTCTCGGTCGATGCTGGCCCGCTCAATACTTGGCTCAGCTTGAAGAATGGCGACACGAGAACCGAGGCCTTGCCCTTCTTCTCACAGTGGACACGCTCATCCGCAAGAAGGTGCACAGGGTGAGTTCTGATCAGCGCAAAAAGTTCACCATGGAGGTCCTCGACAACCACAAGCAGCTTTGGAATGACGCTCGCTCAAGTGCGGAGCTGGACAAGCACAAGCAAGCTTCTGCTTTGACACCTGCACCGGTGACTCCCAAGAAGCGGGCTCGCTCAGTCTCGCCGGTTCCCAAGTCGACAGCCAAAGCTCGAAAGAACAAAGCTCGTCGTGAACGCCAAAAGGCGCAGCTTCAGAAGGCTAAAGCCCTCACCTCTACGCCGCCCAAGAATGCTCCGAAGGCTGCTCGAGATGAGCGTGTTCCAGCCAAAGAATGGCAAACAATTACATCGTTCAAGTATTCGGGTGGGCGTCGGTGCCCTTTCTACAACAGTTCTTTGGGTTGCCGCTTTGGGGATCAGTGCAAGCTCAAGCACAGCTGTGCCGAGTGTGGCCAAGGCCACCCTTGGCATGGCAACCACTGAATGGATGCACCCAACCCCCAGGTGGAGTTGGCTCCTCCGCCTGGGGATTGGACTGGGGCCACCAGCTCCACGAATGACGATCGGTCAAAGCCTCCAGCCGATCGGAAGGCGGTGCTGGGCTCTCAGTCACAGTGGCCAGATTGGGATTTTGTGTTGCAGAATCTAGCTACATTTGCTCAGTCTGGGCCGTTTTTCCTGGAGCTCTTTGCTGGGAAGGCTGGCCTGACGGAGGCCGTTCACCTGACAGGTGTACCAGTGCTCCCGCCAGTGGACATCGAGCCCTCGGCTTTGATCAGCACTCCACGGGATCTGGTGGACTACGTGTTCTGGCGCCAGCTCTTGGATCTTTTGGCGCTGGGCATTGTTTTCTTTTTGCATTGTGGACGCCCTGCAATACGTTCACCTCAGCCCGGAAGGCTGATGGGGGGCCGCCACCACTACCAAGATTGTGAAGCGTGTTCAAGGCGTGCCAGTCACTGACAATTTGCTCAAACTTTGGGAATCAACTATGGAGGATGTGGCTGAAGGTTCTTGCCTGGGCCCCTTCGACACAGAGGAGGAGATCACCTTGGCGTTGAACTGCAGCGACTGGATCCCTACACAAAGGTTTGAAGTAGTTCAAAAGAACAAAGTTCGTGGCTGTGACAGTGCAACTACCAACTTAATCAACCAGATCACAGAGATTAGTGAGAAGTTGCAGCTGCCGTCGACCGACTCGAACGTGGCTGCCCTTAGGATGCTCAAGACCTTGGCTCCAGATGCTGACCTGCTCGGATGGGTGCTCGATGAAAGGAAGGCCTACAGGCAAGTGGCTGTGCGCCCTGATCAGAGGAAGTTTTCCGTTATTTGTTTAAAGTCACCTCACTCAGGCAAGCCATCCTTTTTCATCATGGTTGGGCATTCGTTTGGGTTAGTGTCTGCGGTCTATAATTACAATCGTAGATCTGCTGCTATCAATGAGATTCTTGTCTCTTTGTTCAATTTAGTGGCCTTTAGCTTCTACGATGATAAATATGGCTTTGAGCCTTCTGCTTCAGCGGCGAGCGCTCGCGAAGTGGCTGAGCTTGTGCACTGGTGGCTGGGCGCTAGGTTTGATCAGAAGAAGCTGCAGCTCTCAGCCGAACCGACGATCCTGGGTGTGACCTATAATTTGAAGCTCATGCAATCGGAGATTAAGGAGGAGAGGCGCCGCGATCTGCTCGAAGAGATTGACGCCATCCTGCAGTCTGAGCTTCTTGATCCGGGGTCAGCGGGCAAGCTCAAAGGCAAGCTCATGTTTGGAGCTTCCCAACTCTGGGGCAAGATTGGCCGTGCGTTCTTACGGCCCATTGCAGTATTGGAAGTTCCCTGCAACATCTGAGTTCAAACTCGACTTGCAGCTTATCGAATCATTGCGCCAGTGGAGAAAGCTCGTCCATGCCGGCCAACCGAGACCTAGTGACTTGGCTCAGGAAAGGCTGGCAGATGTGGTGATCTTTACCGATGGCTTCACCCCTGATCCAAGGTCTTCTGCTGTCAGTCCTGATCGGATTGGTGGAGTGATGTTTGACAGAAGAGTGCGCGCACCTCGTCAGTTCACTTCAGTAGTCCCTCAGCATGTCAAGGCTCGTTGGCTGGCAAGGGCGACCCAGATCATGCCTATTGAAATGCTAGCTCCAGTGGTAGCTCTTGTCACCTTTGCTGATCGTCTCCTTGAAGCGGATTTGATTTTGCTCATAGATTCCGAGTCAGTGGAGGCTGCTCTCGTTAAAGGCTACTCCAGTCGGGAAGACATGTGCGAGATCATCACATTGTTTTGGGAAATAGCGCTCGAGTTGCGCGTTCGCGTTTTTATAGACCGAATTTCTACAGACGCCAACCCGGCTGATTGGCCGTCCAGAAACAAGCTCTGGCTGGGCGAAGCAGCAGGCTGGTCTACGGTGCAAGCGTGTTGGCCTGCGGCGCTCAAGTGCGAAGTTCAAGGGCCTGGGTAGTTTGATTGCTCTTTTGTGTGTGAGTTTCAATTGGCTTCCAGTTTGCTCTGACCCGCCAACTCGCTGCGTTTGAGTTTTTGACCTGGTCAGCCGCTCACATCAGCTGGAGCTCAAGATAACCCTTCATTGCATCATAGACCAATCTTTGAGACTGCTCGACCCCATGCCTTGTGCAGTCTTAAAAATGTGTGCTGCGTATTTTGGGACTGCCGGCATGTTTATTTGGATTGTGTGATTTCGCTCATTTGTGCAAATGATGATCCAAGTTCAAAGCTTGTTTGGAAGTGATGGAAAAGTTGAAGTGGGGCACACGCTCGGGCCCCACGAATAGTATGCAGAGAGTCGTTTGCATGTTGTCGGCAAGGTAGGCTTGGAACAAGCGAAGGACTCTTTAGTAAAGTTCAACTTTTCGATCTTTATCCTTCCTCTCGTTATTTCCTGATGATCATAATATATTCATTTGTTTTTGTTTTATTTTATATAGTGATCATATCTTGAGTCATGCATGTTCATGAACGTGCTCTGCCCAGGTCGACCTGTTCCGGCCATTTTGGACTCAAGAAAAGTGATCACTCCAGTCCTTGTGGGAATTTTTGTCCCACCCAGCCCGCCCCGTGAATAGCGGGGTGGGTTGATTGTTTGTTCACTAACCCACCTTTTTCATTTGAGAGTGGGAGAGGGGTAGTTTGATTGCTCTTTTGTGTGTGAGTTTCAATTGGCTTCCAGGTTGCTCTGACCCGCCAACTCGCTGCGTTTGAGTTTTTGACCTGGTCAGCCGCTCACATCAGCTGGAGCTCAAGATAACCCTTCATTGCATCATAGACCAATCTTTGAGACTGCTCGACCCCATGCCTTGTGCAGTCTTAAAAATGTGTGCTGCGTATTTTGGGATTGCCGGCATGTTTATTTGGATTGTGTGATTTCGCTCATTTGTGCAAATGATGATCCAAGTTCAAAGCTTGTTTGGAAGTGATGGAAAAGTTGAAGTGGGGCACACGCTCGGGCCCCATGAATAGTATGCAGAGAGTCATAATTATATATATATATACATACATACATACATACAGAACCGCAAGACTCATATTAAAATTATCATATAAATATGTTTCTTTGCACGTGTGCATGTCTGAAAGTGTCTGTCTGTATTCATGCATGGATGCATGGATGGATGACCTATCACTTCTTGGGGTAACAAACCGCCTGATTTAACGACCTGTCAGGCGACCTTTTGTGTCGCCACAGCGTTTTGGTCGCTCTTCCACATTGCGAGTGTGGCTCGGCAGTGAATTCAGCATCGCCAGACTTGGTATTGGGGATGATTATGGCTAATTGTATACAGATTGGGTAGCTCCACACTGGACATGTGGAATGTCTCCTCACATCCTCCATTTATAGTGTGTTGGGTTGCTGGCACTTGTGCGTGCTGGATCTACGCAAGCGCGCACAAACGCAACCGTTTTATTGTGTTCCATTTACTCAATGTGCATTTTTCTTTTCTTTCGACAAGACAATGTCCGAGCTGGTGCATTATTTGGCAACTGTTCTTCGGTGTCAACCTCTAAAACTGTTTGGTGGTTTGGAACATGTTGTTTTTTCTTTCCATATATTGGGAATAATACTCACAACTGACGAACTCATATTTTTCAGAGGGGTAGGTATACCATGGTATACCACCAACCAGATATGTTTGATGAATCCATCTGACAGGAAATCGATGATCCTTTCGGAAATGACTCCAACGATCTTGACATGCACCTGGGTGGTGTGATGGAAGGGTGTGACGGAAGGGTGGAGCTGGCTTGACTGGCACTACCAAAAAAAAAACCGGATGCCTCTCTTCCTCTTGATACAGGTTGAAGGTTGAAGTCTATTTTTTGGGGGATCGAGACACAAATCCTCAAGCATGTGAATGCAGCTGGCAACCGGTCCAAAGGTGCAGATCATAGTGTTAGCAACAGAGTTTCTATCATTAGGCGAAGTGGTGAGGGACCTGCCGATCGGTCATACCAGCCATAAACCGGTCATAGATGCCTCAGTGACTGGGGCTCTCCATCAGCTCAGCTAGGTACTGTAAACTAACTCATCGCAGAGTAAGGCTCATCATTCATAAAGCGGAACACGGCCCTTGACTGGGACTCTTTTGAGACACACTTTCGAGTCACTCTTGCGGGAAAATCCAGCAAGACACTTTTTTTGGGCACTCCTGCACGACACTCTCTCAAAACACTCTTGTGGGACGCTCTTTTGAAAAACTTGCGTGGGACACTCTTGTAGAAGCTCCATATCCCAATTTCTGCTCTTGCTATGCAACATGTCCACAATCTCCGAAACCATGTGACATACAACTCTCACGATGTACTGATCCTTGCGCAGAATTTGCGCGTGACTCCTTCGTGCAGCAGCTCCAAACATGTCTGAATTACTGCGCTAGACGGAACTGGACCTCTCTCTTGCACGGCTTGATCCTTGAAGGGCCACGCTGAGACCCAAAGCATGTGCTTTTGAGAAAACAACTGCATCCAGCCATCCAGCATTCATCCAGCTAGCCGCTAGCCTTGTTTGGTCCTGCAACTCTGACGATATCCAGAAATCTGAGGGCGCAGCTTACGGAGGACTTTTATCTCGGATTGCACCTTGGTCAAGAGTGGCTCTTGTTGAAGTTGGACCATGGTTCAATTCTTCCACCACGGGGACCGCTACTTTTGCACATGGAGAGATGCAGCCTGCCGGCTTTATAAGGAAACTAAGGAACATGTTCAACGAAAAACTTTCCGAATGGAGTGGACGCCAAAAAGTCTTCCCCACTAGCCCCGTCAGAACTGCCTGTAGTCACATTGCATCACCAATCGTGCAGAAGAAAGCGGCGCCCATGCCGTGACATGAACCTCTTTAGATGTTGGTAGTTGGACAAGCTTTGACATCCATTGACAGTCTGTGCACATCTGTAAATCATGATGTAGTCGGATCTGCTACCAGCAGGCACTTGCAATAATTTGGGGGAACGCTCATCTGCTCCTTCATTCGTGCGAGGTTGCATTTGATGAAGCCTCAAACCCACACAGTTCCTCCCTTCGCACGGCCAAGCAAAGCCGCTGAGCTACAGATGGGATCAGATGGGTGATTCCATTTGGGGGCTCAGATTGACCACCATGAACTGGCTTGTTTACCGCTGAAGTCAGTGGGCCCGCACTCGTGTTCTCTCGCACACATGTTCAGATATAGTAATGGTATGGCCAGTCTTCTCGGGTGACTCCATCGACAGAGGGTTTTGGCACATGTTCATGAAGCAGGCTTCAGATTCGTATCGCCGTATCGCATTTTGTTTCGGAGTCAAAACATGTCAAAGCTGTCTTCTTTTATTATTGTTCAAGCTGATTTGCAGGGTGTCAGGCCATGATTTACGACTGCAGGAAATTCACCTCAAGAAGGTGAGGAAGAATGACCACATTGGGGAGAGCATGGTGACGTGGCCTTGAACTTGCTGAAAACCACGCCTCAAAAATGGATAAACATGAATGATTGATGAAGGTTGGAATTGAAATGGATGAACACATGATAAACATTGATAAACCCTGCCATCTTTTGCTCTTTTGAGCCATGCCGATTTTGCAAACCAATTTAAGAAACAGGCGAGCCAGGGACCTTTGTTGGCAGACAGTTCTTTGCAAATTTTACCACATGTGTTCACATTCATTCAAGGGTCAAGGGTTGTTCCAAAGTTGAGCCACCAGTGACGTTACCCTGCCCTCAACAAGGGAAATGCCCACCTCTGCGACGTTCCCTGAGGTTGCTGCTGAAGTCATCGAAGTGATCGTGCCTGTTTCGGACTCATGCCCACCAACGCTGCAGAAGAAGACTCCTGTGACTCGTCGGGTGGTTCAAAACTTAGTTCTTCTTGAGATGGATGAGAACAATAACTGCTTTAGGTGTTGAATGAATGTCTGTCTGAAATCGGAGGTGCAAAGATTGGCGATCTTGACTTGTTTTTATAGAGTATGGCAGCACGAAGCCCGAACAACCGAACAATTGCTCATTTAGGCTGCCAAACTCCCAAATGTAGGTTTGTTTCGCAAAGAAGGATTCAAAGTTTTTCAACTTGAAAAGTAGGAACAGCAAAAACGGAGGCACTTAGTCCTAGATCGTCCGAGTGTGTGGAGCGATTTTTGCCAAGGTTTTTCCCTAAGTTGGGTACTTGGCTCATGCTCATGGGCTTGCCATGAAATGCCATGAAACGCAACCGACACAGCACTGCTCTTGAAGAGTGCAGGCCGATTTTTAGTAACTTCACAAAGACGGCGGGGTGGTCACCAAGAATGACTTAACATAGTGGCCACACTGAAGATTGCCACAAAGTGAGCGAAAAAACAGAAACAGCTACAGTATGACCCGTGGAAATGACCGCTCAATTGCCACTTGCCCACCGAACTTTGGGTTCAACATGGTTCAACTATTTCGAGCCTCGACACATCGACAGCCTCCTGCATGTTGGAAAGTTTGGTCCCTCCAACTATTTTCGGGGCTCCGATTTGCCACTTGCGGAAGATCTTCGTAGGCATCACTCTTGAAATCGGTCTTTTATATAGCCAACCACTCTGTAGGCCCCTTCCATTCATTCGTTCATTCATCCATCCATCCACCCATCCATCTGTCCATTTATCCATTCATTCATCAATGCATTCATTCATTGATTCATTGGGTCACAAGTTGCTCTCTTCCCAGCAAGCTGTTGAGTTCCAGAGAAAAACGTGGCGGCAATTGTTAAAGCAGAGGCGCTGTATGTGACGTGTTCAAATGATTTCCTTCAGGCTCCACGAACACAGGTGCAGCATACTTTGTTCCTGGCAGCGACACATTCACTCAGCCCCAACAATATGTCCTCTGCAAGCAGATCAAGTTATTCGCACCGCACAAGCCTACGGGTTGTTTCCTTGGCAGATAAAGGGTCACTTGATTTTCATCACCATCGGGAAGGCCCTCTTCTTCTGCGACTCTTCCTGCTTCCAGTCTCCCATCTGCTTGTTGACTGCTTGCCACATGTCCCGTGTTAGTTTGAGCCTCAAAAGATCTGTAGACAACTTCCAAGCTCACCAGCGGAATACCCTAAACATTTTTGGAGTGTGACTGCGTTTGTAGCCACGATTCGCACCTACCCTACACAGGAACGCCTTCAGGTCCACCGCGCTTCCAGATTGCAAGCTACTGTGGATGGAAGAAATCTTGCACCAGTTGGTAGATGGTTTATCCTGTTATAATCCCATTAGTTATTTGCAGAGTTTGATAGTTACCAATAGTTACCAACTGGTGCAGGATTTCTTCCTTTCACAGTATGATCACACTGCTGCGCCGGAGCCATCACCAAATAAGATGACCTTTCATGTTCAGTTTGGATCCTGCCTAGGCGAAGAGGAGGAAACGGGACAAGCCGCGATCTGAATTGCAGGCGCCCATTATGTGCCAAAGCACATATAAACAAGACTACCTTCGTGAAACACGGATTCTGCATTGGTCGAACAGGATTGCAATTACCGGCAAGATCCGCAAAGCAGATAGATCATGAAAATTCATGAAAATTCATGACATTTCTTGAAATATCATGAAGTTTGCGTAGGGTTTTCCACATGCACTGCTGCGAGGAGAGCCAAAGCCCCGAAAGCCCCGATGTGGAAAAAAAGCACCAGCCGTCCCTGGGCGCAGATGTCGTTGAACCGTTGGTTGATGAATATTTGGTCCGACTGAATCGGCGTGTCATAATAGGGCTTTGACACTGCACCGTACACGCCGTACACCCTTTGGAAGTGCCAGAGAAGTTTCAGATGAAGTCAGCAGTAGAACACAAGCACATTGTACACTACACAAGATAGATGGACGGACGGACGGACGGATGGATGGATGGATGGATGGATAGATAGATACAACCGCATACATACATGTGTATACCACTGTCAGCATTTCTATCCACTTGTTTACATTTGTCAACATACACTCGTTCCTTCCTTCCTTCCTACCTACCTAACTATCTACCTGCCTGCCTGCATACGTACGCGTGTGTGTGTGTGTGTGCGCGTACGTATGTGTAGGTATCCGTACACACAAACACGCATACACGCATGCACAGACATACAGACATACAGACATACAGACATACACACACACACAGACACATACACACCCTCACACACACACACATACACAGACTACACACACTACACGCACGACACGCACACACACACAGACACTACTTACATACATTCCATTTAATTACATTACGTTACATTAAATTGCATTTATATGTAAATTCACATTTTACATTCTACATGTTACACGTACGTTATTTTACAGACATACGTTTTTTTTTAGATAGTGTACATGAACATTTACATTGACATATAAGAATACATGACATATTCCCCAAGCGCGTAGGCAAAATATGTGTCAGGTTGATTGGCGCCTCTGATCCCAAGGTCGCTCTATGGCGCTGAGTTTTCCTCCCCTGCGGGAGCTGCGCAACGGAATGGACGGCGGGCTTCAATTTGATCCTTTTTTCCGCCGGTGTCTGACGGGCTCTGTATAGATCGGGCAGAGCCAAAGGCAGGGGTGGCCAGGGCGTCCGCTGAAGCGCCACAGTTTCTTGTGATCTGAATTTGATGATTTAAGAAAAGAATGACCTACCAAATGAAAAGTGATGAAAAGTGTATGCTTGTGGCCGAGCGTTGATGAATATATTAATATAAATATAATATATATATATAATATAATATACGTAGCCGGATACCCATCCTATCCGATGTGGTACTGTAAAACAATGTTCTTCAGCACCCTTACAATCAAAATACACCAGTGAATGGCCTGCCCACTTGCAATTGAGCAGCAGAGGTCAAGTTGATCCCAGATCATCTACTGCCTTGGGTTCTAGCCGATGTGACTTCAGGCCTAGATTTCCACTTGTTGCCACATGGACCTTGTTTTGATAATTATTGAGATACTTTGCTGGCAACGGCCGTGGGAGTGATAGTCCATCCGAAGTTCGACATGTGAACGCCCCAAAGAATCGAAGAATTCGGGAATTTCCATGCTCCGAACTGTCCCGTAGTGGCACTTGCGAGCGTACATGAGCGGTGAAGTCATCCCACATTCTCCGAGTCTCGGAGACTGATCATCATGACCGCTTCGGGAACCCCACTTTCTATACCCTGACATACTGGATTTTGTAACAGCCCAAGCTAAGATACCATGACTGTTACAGTACAACATGGTATAATACATATGGTATAATGTGAGCTGCAGTAAAGGGTTCACTAACAGATGACATGTTCCTTTCCTCTTGGATCCGTCAGATTTCTTTTTGTTGATCCAGCGCCAGAAAACATCGAAGCGAAAAAGCAACTCACAAGGGCCGTCGGCGCAGAATCTCCATTGATTGTCGGCAGAGCTGTGCACTGTCGTAGATCGCTCCCGCGTACAGTATACTTTCATTCTCTGCAAAGGGTTCTTTACTGTCGAGCTAGACTAGGGTTCAACCATCAGTTTCCGGGTCCACAGCACATCATCGTTGCCGTTTCTGCCCCATGAAACTGCAAGTGGAGATCTGGCCAATTTGAACGTAAAATGCTTGTACAGGAGTGCATGTCGCAAGCTGCAGTGCAGTTGAAGAGCGGCCAAACAAATGTCATGATGTCACGCATTTTGACTTAATTTCATCGCACTGGCTCAAATCATTTTGTGGCGTTCCCATCTGTAAAGCTTCGACATGCGCTTTTGAGGGCAACGGGTTTTATTGCCATTTCGATGGCGACCAACGGTTGCCTTTGCCCCAACACATCCTGAAGGATTCAGTTGGCGCAGTCACAAGGGGCCTGAGGGGGTCCAAAAAAGATCAGCATAGGGAGATGGGGCGTCAGGTGGGTCAGGATTGGCTGCACCGTGGGGGCATTGACCGTCTTGACCTTTCCCAAAAGGCCTGAGGCTACCCAAAAAAAGGACTTAAGAAATGCAAAGAGCCATATCTGCTGGCAAACATCCAAAGACATCTCCATGCACATGTATGTCTCTGTATGTCTGTGACTAATGAATGATGAATCCCCTTCAGATTGCATGGTTTGAACAGATATTGGGCTGCGGGCCATTTCCACAAAGACCAGCTTGACACACGCACTTGCAACGATGCTTCTTTCATGTGTTCATTCTGGGCCCTTCGGGCAATTTCAAGGAAATCATCTTGGAGCCTTGGAGCCTGTAAAACTCCCGAGTTTGCTCGGGAATCGACTTTTCGGCGTATTTTGTGGCAAGTGCCTGTCACAAAAGGTTGGTTTGCACATTCATGTCAGGCTGCAAAGGCAAAGGGGATTTGAGTCCTTGAATTCACCAACCACGCAGAGGCCTTGTCGTTGTGTCCCACGCGTCACTTCCGTGGAATCGCCAGAATTAAGGATTTGCAAATCCCCAGAAGTCACTTTCTCATGCACTGTTGCGTCAGAGTGTTTTCATCAACTTTCCCACAAGCTATCTGGGTACAATCAGTGTGTGGGTAGCCAGGTGGAAAGAAGCCATCTAACACGTCGGGACCCTCGGAGAGCTGGATGTAACTGGCCATGCTATGGCGAAAGGATCGAGTATCACCGAGTTGTGAGGCTATGGTCGTTGGTTCACTGTCGATGCTGACCACATTGCATGTCTTTTTCTGCAGCCACATTGGTGTGGATCATGAGATGTACTCACATTGGCGCGCACGGGCTACAGACGCATATTCCCAAAATTAAGCATATGGGTGAACTCAGATATCCCACATGGGGTCACACTTAGATTCATCACCTTTCTTCCAGGGTTTCTCTTGGTACTATTTTCACAGTCTTTTTCCTTTTGCGCCGTCGCGGTCGGTTTCCAATGTGCCATCGTGATGGGCCACACGTCTTCCCATTGTGCAGACAGTGGTGGTACGTGCTGGCAATGCAATGGCCACGGCCAAGGTGAGGCACGCAACGAGGGTTGTGGGGATGATCCCGCAAAGCGGGCTGACCATGACCCCATCGGCTCCATTACCAAGGTGAAACCTGTTTGGCCCAGCACCATCCAGGAGAAAGGGACCGAAAGTCCACTGACTTCGGTCGCAGCAGCTGCTGCGCTTTCACAAGAATGCGGAGATGATGCTTTGCAGAAGATGATGTCCACCGGGAGCTTTTCTGCGAAAACAGGTGCAATTTCCCAGCAGTCTGACATCAGCGATTTGGACATGAAAGGAAGTCTTTATTCTGGCTCGGATTGTAGCACGCGGTCTTCACACCGCAAACACTGCACCAAGTTGAAATTGGTGGAAACCATGGGACATGTGCCATCCACGGCTCTGCAGTTGGTCATCAACAACCCACGGAGTTTGGTGCATGTCTATGAACTTGACGCGGAACTTGGGAAGGGCGCCTTTGGCACGGTCCGACTTGGTTGCATTAGAGCTACAGGAGCCAAGCGGGCCATTAAAACAATCAGCAGCTTGTCCAGAGATTCACAGAAGCAGTTTTTTTGTTGAGTTCTTTGTACGGAATCAAAAGAGGAAAGTGTAAGTACAAGCGTACAAGCCAAATGTATTTGGGGGAATAGTGAAACGACTTCTTAGTTTTGCTCTTGAGAGGCCATGTGCAAACGCGTGGGGGCGCCTTTTTGTTTTGTTTGCTACGAAAGAATTTTATGGCACCGAGGCAGAGAGAAGATGAAGGAAAGCCAAGGATCGCTGAAGCTGGAAATTGAAATTATGAAGATGCTGGATCATCCTGGCATCGTCATGCTCTTTGAGGTCCTGGAGGATGAAGATGTTCACCTCTCGATGGAACTCTGCGAAGGATGTCTGACGGATCGGGTGAAAGCGAAACCGCACAAGCACCTTCCGCATGATGAACTCCAAACTGCGATGCATCAAGTCTTCTCGGCCATTTACTATCTTCATAACAAGAACATCATTCACCGAGACTTGAAATCTGACAACATTCTCCTGAAAGTTGGTCCAAATGAGAGGTTGACAAGGACCAGCCTAAAGGTCTCAGATTTCGGTCTGTCGCGGATTGTGAAAGATGGTGAATATTTGTCTTCCGTCGCTGGGACACCTAGCCACATGGCACCAGAGGTTCATGACAGGCGATGCAACCATAAGAGTGACATTTGGAGCTGTGGGGTCATTCTCTATTTCCTCTTTTGTGGGGAGTTGCCCTTCAAGGATGAGGAAGCGACCAAGAAAGGTCAATATAAGGTGAGTGGCCCTTTATGGGACAAGGCAGACTTACACATGTTGACTTTTCTCAGCATGCTGCTCTGCAAACGCTCGGGCTTGCGCTATTCGGCTAGGAGAGCCCTAAGGGATGACTGGCTGCGCTTACGCAGTGCTTCCAGATCTTTTTCGACGAAAGATTCCAAACGCAAAGGTCTTTTGGAGGATCTTCGATCATTTCGTGCCTTGAACAAGTTCAAACGAGCTGTGATCTGCACTGCTGTTTCGATGCTACCAGAGCAGGAGATTGCCGAAAGTCGGAATATTTTCATGTCGTTGGATGCGGACGGTGATGGAATGGTCTCAGCTCAAGATCTTAAAAAGGCAGGCAGTTTAGCAGTTGGCTTTGAAGATCAGGTCTTGTCTTCACGACAAGTGAGACAAGCTTGTGGCGTCACGGACAAGTTCGAAAGCTTTGTGTCAACCAGGGCATTTGGCTACACCGAATTCTTGGCCGCCACCATTGACCCTGACGTCTACCTCGACAACAAGGTGTTGCAAGCGACCTTTAGTTGCTTTGATCGAGATGCTGATGGAGATATCTCATTGTCTGAGCTCTCAAATGGCCATCTATTGGGTGCCCTTTCGATGGAAGAACTCCATGAGATCATGGCTTGGTGTGATTTGGACGGCAACATGCAGATCGATTTTCCAGAGTTTGAGGCGATGATGCGCAGCGCCTAGCTGTTGCGGCTCAAGCTGTTCACGTAGGCTGCGCAGAAGTCCAATTTCAAGTTGGATTTCGATTCTGAAAAACTGTCCCGAGGGACTGTCAAGCTACATTCTGTGTGGAACACCTGTCTAAATACATCTAAATACTTCAAGCATCTTCAAGCTCTGACATTCTCATTTCTCCATCACTCCATTATTACTTGTGCTACCCCTCCATTGAACATGTTCCACCCAATCCATTGACAGTCAGCGGCGGCTGGTTTGTAGTCTGCTTTGTCTGAAAATAGGCTGCCCATCGGTGCCCCAATTTATCCAGTGATACATGATTATTATCCAAGATGGAGGTTTCCTTTAAAATATGGGTACCTCCAAATCATCCATTTGAAATTCAGGGATTTTCAATGAAATATGTGAGAAATAAACATTAAAATAAACCATCCAGCTTGGGTATCCCGGATTATTTTCAGATGCACCATTTTCCAATAATATATCCCAATATTATGGATTATCTTATTGATGCATTGGATTATAACATATTATTTTCAGATGCACCATAGAAATAGTGGATTTACCCAAACAAAATGGTGGATCTTTCCATTGCTATGTTAGTTCACCAGAGGGTAAACCTCCATTTTCCAATGGTTTCCCTATGATTTTTGGGACCATTTTCAGACATCGCCCGTCGAGCCAGTCGAGCTTGTTACGTCCGAGCTGCGGGGACGTCGGACGAGTTGCCAGAACAGCCGTGGTACGGTGTAGCCAGAGCCGCTTCGTCCAGTTGATCATGTTCGAGCCAGTCTAATCTTCAACTATAGATATATATATACATATATATATATAATATAATATATCATTATATATATATATATCTATCTATCATCATATATCATTATATATCTATCTATATCTATCATTATTTAACTATATATATATACCATTATATATCTATAGACATATAGTCATATAGTTGATTATTATATATTGTACGATCATGATTCTATCTATCTATCTATCTATCTGTCTGTCTATCTATCTATCTATCTATCTATATATTATATATATATGCATTGGTTTTTTCCTTTTTTCCATGATCATGTTTTCATGTTTCCTTTTCCATTTCATCCTTGATGTGACTTGGAAGATCCACCGTATCGCCGATCTGCTGGAGATCAGCCATGAAGGAGGGAAACTTTCCAAAGCCGAATGGGCCCATGTGTTGAAAATTGAAGATGATGGTTGTAGCCTAAGTTCTGGCCACTAAGGTGAACATTTTCTGACTAAGGTGTCTAAGTTTGTTTTTCTTTCGATCTAATCATCCCTCTGTAGAGATGCTTACCACCCGTTTCACCGAGTCGAGAAAAGGAGATGAGAACGCGCCCAGCTGTCAGACCCCACAAACTCACAGGGACTCAAATACCTGGCGGCGGCGATGGAAGATTTTGTTTCGATGCCGCATGATTTTTGTTCATGAGATATTTTATCAGTACATATCAGTACCAGATAGAAATTATCAGAAATAGGCATCTGAATCATTCTGAATCTATCTCACTGGGTCGACCTGACTCAAAAACGTCGCGATGAAAATCCACCAGGTGGGCTCTTTGGAGACGTTGACCAAACAGGCTCGAGGCCTGCAGCTGATTTCAGCGGCTTTTCCCAACGACCGATGCGTTCGAGAAACAGTTGAAGTTTCAACGGCTGCTGATAAATCTTGAAACAGGGAGCATGGGCCAACGCTAGAGCGTCTTTGAATATTCGTATCTAACTTTTGTCTCGGACGGCAGTTGTGGGACAGGGGTATCCACTCACATGAGAGCACAGGTTTTTTGTGAGTGGTGAACAGTTGCAGGAACTCAAGGTGTTTTTTTCTTTTATCTCCCAGTCAAAGCCCAAAACATCTTAATTTGCTTGAATCATCGCAGGGATCGTGATCTCGATCGGGCTGATCGTCTCTTGAAGCTTTGGGATTTTTCATCGGTCGCCAGAAAATTCATGATTTTCCATCAAATTTGCATTGGTTGTAACAGTTCTACACGGACAATTCGCCAAATTCACAGATTTTCCCTGCAGTGTTTACTCTGTGAGTGGAGAAATTCTGATCCGATGCTTCTGATTTTTGCCAGGCCAGGCGACTAGGGCAAGGCATGGCAAGGCTCCCAGGGCGCCGATATGCTGGACTCTTGCAACGAGCCATGGCAGATCTGCTGAGAGGTCCGGGATTGCAGGGTGGGCAACTCAAGAAACAAATGTAATGTGCTGTAATCAAAGAGATTCCACATGAGCAACGCCTTTTATTTGCGATTATTTGGGTATGGGTCAAAATTAGGTACCCCAATAATTGGATGGTTAATACTAAACTAGACTAACATCTGTGGTCCCCTAGGTCTTCCATTTTGACCCACATCCATTTAGTTTTTTTGAATCATCCAGAAGTTTTACGTCTCTAAAAGAAGGGTGAACTTAAACATGTGTGGATTCCTTATTGCTAATGATGATGCAGTCGTTTCCTTGCGTTGTCTTGTCGTTTCCACGCCTCTCAACACAACCCAATCCTGTCCTGGGATGTCTTCTGGAGCTGTTGCTGTTTTGTATCAGGAAAAATCAAGGCCAATCAAGTCCGAAAGCGATTTTACAGACATCAGAATATATCAGAATGACAATGCCCCTGCCTTTTTTTGTGACGTTGCGGCTGCTGTTCAGACAGGAGAGACACCAAGTGGCTGGATAGCTGCCCGATATGCTGGAGTGCTGGAGAACAATGCTATCCTGCTATCACTGATGGCTTTTTGATGCTTTTTGTGGAGAATACCGAAGGAAATGGATGGAAATGGAGGTTGCATCTGAGTCTGGTGTCTGGGGTGATGTGTTTGCAACGGCCATCAACATTCACCCCTTTTTAATCTTGGCAAACCTTTCTGCCTTTTAGAGATGGTCCCTGACTGGCAACTGAGCAGCGAAAGAAAAAGCCGGGGGCAGCTGGTGCGTGCCAAGGTTGGTGCATTTTTTTTTACTTTGCTGTGTTTGCAATGTCCAACTTTCACATAGAACAGATTCTGCCGATTCTACTGCTCTTCCAAGCAGCTGCTTATGTTTGATTTGTGAAGCACCACAAAATCATGACGGACCTCGAGCTGCACTCCATCAAGATATCCTGTAGTTCATGCCAGTCTGAGCCACCGGTTCTAATAATTAGCATCATTTAAGGTGCTACATCTATCTAAATGTCGGATTCCAATGCAAGAGGAAAGCTGGAGACAGTCTTCTTCAAATGGATTTGATATGTTTTTTTTCTCTGAAAATAGGCACCCCTATATCCTTTGCTTCATCATCATCATCATCATCATCACCATCATCATCATCATCATCCCCATTAGAATGGCCATTTGGGGAGTAACATCCCCCATTTTCAGACACGCCCTGCTTGGTGATGTCTTGGTGACTTGGTGATGTTTTTTGTTTTCACATTGGCGCCTCTGCTTCATCTCAGCCCTCTGCTTGCGTGGCTCACAGCATTCAGAAGTAGGATACGACTAGGTGGGGATGCCGTGGCTCTCAGGAATTCTTTTGCACGTGGCGCTCTAGGGAGTCTGGACCTAAGGTGCCAATCAGAAACAGGTCGCAGAGCTGAATTTTCCTTCAGAAATGTCTCGAAAAAAACACACGAATTGTCATGAATTGTCTGAACTTCAAGAAACAGGTCGTGAGTGCCTGAAATGGTCCCATGTTGGAGGTTTTCTTTGCGCTAAACATCGCTGAGACATCTTGAGATCACTATACCTTTCCTCCAAAATACCCCTAAAACCACCATGGGTTTTCCCATGCACCGTATGTCAAAGCGACAAATTCATTTTGGATGATAGCTGGGTTCAGAGTTTGGGGAAGCCTCCTTGGTTGCGATCATCCCACGTTTCGAGTTGCGGCACGTTGCGGCACGCATCGAGTTCGTTTTTTGGGGGCTCGTGGGTTATCCATGGTTATCCCATCAATGGATAATAATAAGTGGCTTATATTCGCAATAAATGGGATAGGATACCCTCTGGTAATTTAACATAGCTATGGAAAATCACCATTTTTAATGGGAAAACTCACTATTTCTATGGCCATTTTCAATAGCTATGTTAGTTTACCAGAGGATATCCTATCCCTCGTTCTCTTGGCTTATCCCATGACTAGTGGGTGAACTATGGTTACTACCGTGGGTTGCGCCTGTGACCTAGTTACAACCGTGGGATGCTCAGGCGGACCGAGAGCATGATACGAACACTGTACGCGCCCCTGGGGATCCCTGGTGGAAGAGGCAAGTGAGGTAGCAATGCCTGAAGAGGCGTGCTTAAGGGTTGTAGTTGTGCTTACATGATATAATTAATTAGTATTACAAAATATGTAATTTATATAATATATGATATATAGCAAATATAACATAATGTTCTGATATAGATAGATAGATAGATAGATAGATAGATATAGATTCTAGATAGGAATTTTGTGAAGTTGCATCAGCATTTGTTTGGGAATGGGAAACCTCTACGCTGCAACGCCTGGGCAAAACCCAGGCGTTGCGCGTATATATAGATATATATCTATAAAATATAATAATACGCTATATAATAATACATATTACTATATGATAATATTTAATAATATATAATTATAATAAATAAAACGTAATAATATATGATAATATATAATAATAAATAATAATATATAATAATATATAATTAATATATAATTCTATATAATAATATATGACACTATATAATAATATAAAATCATATATAATGATATTTATAATAAAACAATAAGAATATATATTATAATACACATATATAATATTATAATATATATAAAAATATAATAATATGTAGTAATATATAATATATATATATATAATGATATAAAGTAAAAAAATAAATGGAATATATAATAATATATATATAAATAATATATATAATATATACAGTAATATATATAATAATATGTATAGTAACCTATTTAATAAGAAAATATATATA